GGCTAAACAAATTGAAAAAAAGTAAATCAAACTGTCCCTCTTTGTAGATGACAAGATCATATATCTAGAAAAACCTAATGACACCACTCCAAAACTCTGAGAACTGATACATTCAGTAAAGTTGCAAATACAAAATCAATATACAAAAAAATCAGTAGCATTTCTATATACCAATAATGAAGTAGCTAAAAGAAAAATAAAGAAAGAAAGCAATCTTATTTACAATAGCTACCAAAAAAAAACCAGGAATAAATTTAACCAAGGTGGTGAAAGACTTCTTCTACAAGGAAAACTATAGAACACTGATGAAAGAAATTAAAGAGAACACAAACAAATGGAAAAACATCCTATGCTTATTCCTGAAAAAAATTAATACTGTCTTTGGGTTTTTCTATATTTCTAGAGATGGGGTTTCACTCTGCACCTCAAGCTGAACTCAGACTCCTGCTCTCAAACTATCATCCTATCTTTGTCTTCCATGGTCTCCCATGTAGCTGGAACTACAGGCACGTGCCACCACAGTAATATACAGTAAAATGCAGTCTAGTGGGGTCTGTGTTCTCAAAATGGAGAACACAGAAATGCTGGAACTGCTAAGGTGTGTAGGACTCAGTGCAAATCCCACTCTGGAGCAGTGCTATTGGGTGGCCTCCAGGCAGCTCCATAGAGTACATCAGGCTGGGAGACCCCAGAAGGGCTCTTTTCAGTGCTTATACCCCCAGGGACTCTGGTTAAAATGACCATACTACCCAAAGCAATCTACAGATTTATGCAATCCCTATCAAAATACCAACAACATTCCTTACAGAAATAGAAAAAACAATCCTAATATTTACATGGAACCACAAAGGACTCAAAGTAGTCAAAGTAATCCTGAGCAAAAGAATAAGCTGGAGGCATCACACTACCTAACTTCAAAATATATCATAAGCCTATACTAACCAAAACAGCATGATATTTGTCATAAAAATAGATACACAGACCAATGGAACAGAATTAAAAACCCAGAAATAAATCGATGAGTGTAAAGCCAAATGATTTCCAACAAAAGTGCCAAGAACAACCATTGGGGAAAAAACACCCTCTTCAATAAATGGTACAGGAAAAGTAGATATCCATGTACAGAAGAATGATACAGAATCAACCTAAGTGTCCATCAGTGGATGAATGGATAAGAAAAATGTATTATATATATTCCATGGAAGACTATCAAGCCATTTTAAAAAAGAAGAAGAAGAAATTCTGTCAATCGCAGCACCATGGATGGAACTGGAGATCATTAGGTTAAGTGAAAGAACCCAGGTACAGAAAAACAAATATCACATGTTCTCACTCATTTATATGAGCTACAAAAGTAGATCTCATGGAATTAGATGGCAGCAGAATAATAGTTACCAGAGGCTGGGAAGTATGGGCAAAGGAGATAAAGTGAGGTTGGCTAATGAGTACAAACATACAATTAGATAGAAGGAATAAGTACTAGCACTCAATGGCACAGTAGGGTGACTATACTGAACAACAAATATTGTATATTTCAAAACAGCTATAAGAGAAGATTTAGAATGTTCTCAACACAAAGAAATGATAAAGGTTTGAGGTGATGGATACCCTAAATACCTTGGTTTGATCATAACACATGGTATGCAATTTTTAAAATATCACATGTTCCAGGCCAGGCACAGGGGTTCAGCCTGTAATCCCAGCACTTTGGGAGGCATGGCAAGAGGACTGTCTGAGCCCAGTGGTTCGAGACCAACCTGGGCAACATGGTGAGACCTCATCTCTACTATAAATCACAAAAACTAGCTGGGCATGGTGGCATGCGTATATAGTTCCAGCTACTTGGAAGGCTGATGCAGAAGGACGACCTAAGCGCAGCAGGCTGAGGCTGCGGTGGCCGTGAGAATGCCACTGAACTCCAGCCTGGGGCTCAAGAGTGAGACTCCAACTCAAAAAAAAAAACCAAACAAACAAACAAAAAAATCACATGTACCTTTTTAAAAATGTATAATTACTATATATCAATTTTTTAAATTTTTTAAATAAAATAAAAATCCACTCAGTGGATAAAAAAATTAAAATTTATCAAAAGTTACAAACACAACCAGTTCATAGCATCATTCACAATTGAGAGAAATGTAAACCCGCATTAAATCATAACTGCATAAAATTAACTTTAATGTATACTGTACTACTGTTATAATTTTGTAGCTACTTCCTTTGCTATTGTGGTGCGTGTAGGTGTTGCAAGCATTGGCTCCAAATGCCATCTGACACCAATCATTTCAGAGTAAGCAGTTCATCTCTCCAGTAAATTGTGTATCATAGTAAAAAGTGATCTCTCTCAGTGCTCACATTGTTTTCATGTTTAGTACAATACCATAAACCTTGAGTAACACCATGGGACCCATTCAAAGTGCCACCAGTGATGGACATGTTCCCAAGAAGTAGAGAAAAGTCATGACATTATAAGAAAAAGTTGAATTGCTTGATATACTCTGTAGATTTAAGTTTGCAGCTATGGTTGCCTGCCATTTCAAGGTAAATGAACCCCGTGTAAGGACCATTGTTAAAAAGAAAATTTGTGAAGTTGTCAGTGCAATGACACCAGTAAGCGCAAAAAAACACCCCACTCTTTATCTCACATGAAAATGCAGTTTTTTTTGTAGGTGCAGAATTGCTATAAGAAAGATATACCAGCAGGGCTCGGTGGCTCAGCCTGTAATCCCAGCGCTTTGGGAGGTTGAGGTGAGTGGAGTGCCTGAGCCAGCAGGTTCGAGAACCTCCTGGGCAAATTGGCGAGACCTCATCTCTACAATAAATCAAAAAATTAGCTGGGTGTGGTAGCGCATGCCTGTAGTTCTGGCTACTCGGAAGGCTGAGGCGGAAGGATCGCCGGAGCCCAGCAGGTTGAGGCTGCGGTGGCCGGGAGCGGCCACTGCACTCCAGTCTGGGCGACGGAGTGAGACTCCAACTCAAAAAGAAAGATATCCCGGCCGGGCTCAGTGGCTCAGCCTGTAACCCCGCGCCTTTGGGAGGCTGAAGTAAGTGGATTGCCTGAGCCCACAGGTTTGAGACCCGCCTGGGCAGCAAGACCTCATCTCTACAATAAATCAAAAAATCAGCCGGGCATGGTGGCGCATGCCTGTAATTCCGGCTACTCGGAAGGCTGAGGCGGAAGGATCGCCGGAGCCCAGCAGGTCGAGGCTGCGGTGACTGGGAGTGGCCACTGCACTCCAATCTGGGGGACAGAGTGAGACTCCAACTCAAAAAAAAAAAAGAAAGATATACCTATAGACTCTAATAAGGCTCAAGAAAAAGCAAAACCATATTATGACAACTTGAAGCAAATGGGAAATAAAGGATCTAAAGCTGGAGTATTTCATAGCCAGCAAAGGATAATTTGAAAATTTTAGAAAAAAGTTTGGCTTAAAGATGTCAAAATAACAAGAGAAGCAGTTTCTGCTACCCCAGAGGCAGTTGACAAGTTCCTAGACATCATTAAGAAAATCACTAAGAAGAAAGGATATCTTCCTGAACAGGTTTTTAATGCAGACAAAAGTTCCCTATTCTGGGGGAGAAAAGAAAAAAACAGCCACAAAGAACACTTATTAGTAAGGAAGAAAAGTGAGCACTGGGACTTATGGAATTTATGGAAGGAAGAGATGAGCTAACTCCACTGTTTTGTGCAAACACAGTGGAGTTTATGATCAGGACTGCCTTTATTTATAAAGCTGATAACTCCCCTAAGCCCTGAAGTGAAAAAATAAATACCACCTGCCAGTATTCTGGTTGTACAACAAGAAAGCCTGAACAAGAACTAGACTGGTTCCATCAATGATTTGACCCTGAAGTCACGAAGTACCTTGCCAATAAGGGACAGCCTTTTCAAGTTCTTATGATACTGGACAATACCCCTGGTTACCCAGAATTCCATAAGTGCAACAACGAAGTGGTCTACTTGCCTACGAACACAGTATCTCTAATTTGGATCAGGGGTCACTAGGACCTTTAAGTACATCATACACAGTACTCTATGAAAAGGATGGTCAATAACTATGAAAGAGGACACTATGGAGAGAACACCATGAAAGTTTAGAAGTATTACACCACTGAAGATGGTTGTTATAGAAAAATCCATGAAAAGCTCAAGCCTGAAACAATACATTCCTGCTGGAGAAAACTGTGTCCAGGTGTTGTGCATGACTTCACTGGATTTACGACAGAACCAATCAAGGAAATCCTGAGATAAATTTTGGATATGGCAAAAAGGGGAGGGTGTAGGGTTTCAAATTATGGATCTTGGAGAAAGTCAAGAACTAACCCATCCACATCAAAGGAATTAACAGAAAAGGACTGCATGGAAACAAGAGCATTCAAACAAGTGCCAGAAGATGAGGCAGAAGATGTAGATGCACCACTGGCAGAAAGCAAAGTGACACGAGACAACCCTGTGGAAAGTTCTGAGGAGTCAAGGCTGCTTTTGACTTCTTTTACAACATGGACCCGTCTATGATGTGGACACTGAAACTAAAGCACATCGTCGAAAAAGAATGGGTATCATATAGCAACAGTTTCAGAGAAATAAAAAAAGAAAAGTCAGACAAACTATGACTTAAATTTCCAAAAAGTTACACCGAGTGTGCCTGCCTCTAACCCCTCATCTTCCTTCTCCTCTTCAGCCTACTCAGCGTGACAATGATGAGAATGAAGACCTTTATGACAATGCACTTTCAGTTAATAGTAAAATATATTTTCCCTTCTTTATGATTTTCTTTTCTCAAGCTTACTTTATTGAATATGCATAACATAAAAAAGTGTCAACTAATTTTTTATGTTATCAGTAAGGCTTCTAGTCAACATAAGTTATTGGTGGTTAAGTGTTGTGAAAAGTTGTATGTGAACTTTCAATTGCAGGTGGGAGCACCATCCCTAAAAGCCCCATATAGTTCAAAGGCCAACTGTAGAAGCTTATCAAAACAAAAAACTATTTATAGTACCTGTCAAAAGATCTGAACTGCACAGGTTGTTCAACAGATAGATCACCAAGGGCTCCAAGGCAGGCTGGTGGCAGAAGGGCAGGATCCACTGTGACTCCATCTGCTGGTATGTTAACCAAGCTTCGGAGAATGTCCTTCACGTTGACATTTTTTGAAACTGAAACTGACGGGGTAGCCTTAGGATCCAACTCATTTCTTCCGTCACTTTTGATTTCCTGGGATTTATTGACTTCTAAGGAAAGAGTGGACAGTACCTCACTGATTGCATCTGGGCCTGCGATGACACTAGAAGGTGCTGTATGAGGTGTTACATCCACACTGCCCCCTAAACCAGTAGTTGTTTCCTCCCCAATGCCTGAGTCCCTCCTTCGAGCAGATGATGTGCTTTCAGATTCTTCCACCGATGCTGGAGTTAAAGTGCTGAAGGCTGCTGAGGTGTTTTCTACCCAGAAACAGAAGAAATACACAAACAAAAAACTTAGAACTGATTTTAAAAGGTATACTCAGTCCTAAAGCCATCATTAATTTTAAATTATGAAATGCATTATGTTCTAAAAAAGCAAAAACTAATCACATAAAATTTATAAATATACTGAGTGAATGTACCTATAAGCAAAATAGGTGGAATAATAAAATATATACATATATAAAAATAATAAAATACTTGCAAACAGATAAATAAAGTCCTGGAAATAGGTCATGATATACCAATCGGTAGCAACACAGGTTGAAAGCCACTGGCCTATAAGAAAAAATCCAAAACCCTAGGAGAAAGTAAAACCCTCTAGCTCAAACATGGTTTTTGCAGCTGGAAAACGTGTTACCTCTCCTACATGCATAAATAACTCAATGATCTTTAAAATTCAGTTTAAAAAGGAACATCCCCTTTTCACTCTGTTTGACTTTCAGTGCTTTCAAACTTTCACCCATCCTAACAAAAATGCTCTTCTCAAGGTCACCAACGCCTGCAGTTGGCTAAATCCAAAGGTGAGTTCTCAGTCCTGATAACACTTCATGTAACAGCAGCAGCTGATTATTCCCTCCAATTAGATATCGCTTTATTCACGTGGTTTGCAGGACACCATGCATTTCTGGTTTTCCTTCTACTACATCACTGGTTGTTCCTTCTTAACATTCTTCACTTCTTTTTCTCCCTGATTTCTTAAGTGTGGAGGGATATAGGGCTCAATCCTTGGTCTATCTATATGTATTCCTTTGGTGATCTCAGTCAAACTCCAAGTTTTAAATACACTATAGCCAACCTCCCCAAAAAAAGTCAGGATTGTTGTACTGAACTGCTACCCTATATCTTCTTTTATTTGTCAAAAAGACATCTCAAAGTCAACATCTTGAAAACTGAATTCCTTATTCTTTTATCTTTCCCTGAAAATCTGTTACACCTTTAGCTCATGCCACCATAACTTGTAATTATTCTTGGCCATCATTTTTCTTGGCAACCCACATTTAATGTTTAAAAATAGTGTTTTTCTACCACAAAACATCTAGAATCTGACTACTTCTTACCTTCTCTACATTTACCAACTAGTCCATCTCACCATTACCTCTTGCCTTAATTACTGTCATATCCTCCTAACTGGTTGCAGAAGATGGTTACTTTAATGATCCTACTGCCTCATGCTTCCTGCTAGTCACCTCCTTGAGAAGTCCTTGAATCTGGACAGGGCATGACTTACATTAACCAACAGAATACGACACGGGAAGCACTGAGTTAATACTGGGCCCCAGTTTTAAGATCTGGCAGCTTTTGCATTTCCAGAATTCCTAAGAGCTTCTATAAGACACCTGGCTGATTTCTGATCTACTTTGCTTGAAAGAACATGTGGAAAGACCATATGGAGAGAAAGAGGTCCTCCAAACTAATGAAGGAAAACAGGAATCTAATTGAGAACATGTGTCAAGGCCCTAGACATGAAACCCCAGCTCAGCTGTTTCAGTCAGTCAGTCCCAGCTCTTAGAGCCATCCCAGCTGAGACACTAGACACACAAACAGAAAAGCCAAAATGCCCTTCAACAGATGAATGAACAATGGGTGAATTAATGAGTGAAAAGGGATATGAGAAATTTGTAAAAATCTATTGAGAGGTGACAGTAGAATCCCTAAATAAACTAGTATGAAACAAAATTATTTTAAAAGAATACTGTATATATGATTTTATTTATATAGGATTCTGAAAAGCCAAATACTATATAGACGGGTATCACATTAGAGGCTGCCTATGGCAGAGGTGAATTACAAAAGGAGAACTTTCTGCAGTGATGGAAATATTCTATATCTTGACTGTAGTGGTGGTTATACCTCTGTATACTATCAAAACCCATCAAACTATACACTTTAAAGGGTTTTACTGTATGAAAACTATTCCTCAATAAACCTGACTAAAAATTAAAGTCAATTAGCAAAAAAATAAAATAAAAAGAAAGAAACCATCTTAAGATTTTCCACGTCCAGCAACCATCATCTGGAATAGAAATTCCCACTGTGACCTATCTAAATCTAACTCACAGAATCATGAAAATAAAATTAAACCAGTTATGGTCCTCAGTCACTCAGCTACAAGGCGGTATGCTACAGCAGTACAAAGCCAAAGCACTGGCGTTCCTCCCTTTTTAGGCGTGGGTCCTCAACACAGAATCCAGAGTGTCACTTTTAAAAACATAAGTCACTTGTGACTCTTCTATTCAAAACCCTCCACTGATTTCTCATTTCTCTTAGAAAAAAATCCACACTCTGCTAGCGAGGACACAGAGAAAAAGGAATGCTTCTACACAGCTGGTGGGAATGCAAACTAGTGCAACCTCTTTGGAATACAGTGTGGCAATTTCTGAAAGAAGTAGAAATTGACCTTGCATATGACCTAGCAATTCCCCTACTGGGAACATACCCGGAGGAACTCAAATCATTCTACAGAAAAGATACCTGCACACGTATGTTTGTTACAGCTCTATTCACAATAGCAAAAACATGGAACCAACCATGTTCCCCATCAAAGCTGGACTGGATTAAAAAAATATACACAATGGAATATTATGCAGCCATAAAGGACAAACATATGGACTTTGCAGCAACTTAGATGGATTTAGAGTCGATTATACTCAGTGATCTACCACAGAAACAAAGAAAAGAGTACCATATGTTCTCACTCATAAGCAGACCTTGAACAATTATCATAATACTATAAGAAAGGGATTGGCAGTAGTGGGACACTGCCAGGGGAGTCGGGGCAGTTCAGGGAAACTGCTAGGGGAGGAAGGGGCACACCTCATCAACAAGGGTACCTACATAATCAACATTTGTATACCTACCCCTGAATTGTACCCCACATCTTTAAAATAAAATAATAAAAATTCACACTCAGACATTCCTGCCTATTCCTGGTATTTACCCTTGTCACATTTTTTTATTTTATCAGCACTTTTACCACCTTCTAAGATACAATTTATTTATTGCACGTATCTGTTTTCTATTCCCTCCCACAAGAATATAAGCTCCATGAGAGCAGAGATATTTTTTCTTCTGTTTTGTTCATAAATATGCTCACATACCCAATAGGTATATGAGTAACTAACAAATAAACTGGCTCCTTTGGGCAGAGCTACTTTTATAACTGTAAAAGCTACTTATCTATCTATACTTTTATATCTGGCAACTACTTTTAAGACTAATTATTAAAGTTATTTGTCCAACTTGGATGCAGCTGGAGGCCATTACTGTAAGCAAATTAACACAGAAACAGAAAACCCAATACTGCATGTTCGCACTTATACATGGGAGCTAAACACTGAGTACACATAGGTATAAGGATAGGAACAACAGACACTGGGATACCAAAAGGGGAAAGGGAGAGAAGGAGAGAAGGGAGCAAGAGTTAAAAAACTACCCACTGTGTACCATGCTCCACTTGGGTGACAGATTCAATAGAAGCTCAAACCTCACCATCACACAATATACCCATTTAACAAACCTGCACAAGTACTCCTTGAATCTAAAATAAATTTTTTTTTTAATTATTTGTTCAAAAATCTCTCACAGAGAAAATGAGTTAGTTATTCCTCATGGCAAATGCTGAAGTTGATAAAATTTTCCAAATTCTTTATTTATTAAAAATATCATTTTGTAACTTACCTTTTAATTAGATGGTTCATTTTAAGAACAAAATATATCACCCAACTGCAATTGACTACATGATACTTGAAATAAAACTATTTAGTTATTAATAAAAATGCATGTTCTCACTTCACAAATACGTAAATGGATATAAACTCCAATATCAATATTTTCACCATCAAAAGTAGGTAACATTTTACTTGATCTTTGGTACAAGGAAATAAAAGATGGAAACTTACCAGGGAGTGACACATTCCCATTTTCACCACCAGTTTCCTTACATGACTGGCTATGCCTTTCATTCTGGGGTTCCAAAATGTCTCTGTACTTGGAGACCATAAGAACAGAGATAAAGTATACAACTGCCAAGGCTAAAAATTGAGCTTGTTTGCTATCCTCCTGGGAAAAAAAAATTAAAAGCAGTTGATTATGCCACCATTAATTAACATGACTTAGTTTTATTCCATATTACAATATTTAAATATAAAAGACAAGGGCCAAGGAAAAGTTCTTAAAGGGAATTTAAAGTGAACTACTACTCCAGTGAGTAAACAAATGATAAGAAAGCAGGCCAGGTGCAGTGGCTCCACATTTGTAATCCTAGTAAGTTGGAAGGCCAAGGAAGGAGGATCGGATGAGCCCAAGAGTTCAAAACCATCCTGGGCAACACAGCGAGACTTTGTCTCTACAAAAAAAAAAAAAAAAAACTAGCCAGATGTGGTGGTATGCGCCTGTAGTCCCAGCTATTCAGGAAGCTGAGGTGAAAGAATCACCTGAGCCCAGGAGGTTGAGACTGCAATGAGCAGTGATCATTCCACCGCACTCTAGCCTGAGTGACACAGTGAGAATCCAACTAGACACAAAAGAAAACAAACCAAAAAAAAACCATTTCTTTGCATTCAAACTTAGCTAAACATTTGACACAAGAAGCTCAGCATTTGGCCTATAACAATTTTTGATATACCTTCCTCACTAAGCTTAATCACTTCTAACTTTTGATTTAAAGTAAGAGATGTGATCCTTCCTTTCACCTGAACACTTGGAAGCCACTGTAGGGTAATTAATTGGCCAATTGCAACACTGTTGTATCTCAAAAAACAGGGTCGCCCAAGGAGAGGGAAAATGGCTATGGCTAGCTGGTGAAGTGCTCAGACCAATATTTATCAATTAAGTTTGCGGTCTTATATGGGCTTGATTTGTTGTGATAGTAACATTAAAGACCACTTATCACAGATCACCATATAATAAATAAAAAGATATAATAATAAAAAGACCTGAAATGCAAGAATTAACCAACAAGTGAAATAAAGACATGAAGTCAGCACATGTTGTTGGATAAATGGCACTGATAGCCTAGCTCAATACAAGGTTGCCACAAAACAACAACCTGTAAAAAATGCAATGTCTGCAGTGTGCAATAACGGAAAGTACAATAAAATAAGGTATGCCTGTAAAAAGAAACTAATGGTAAGAGACTAAAAGCTAGTAAGTGTCAGAAGTTTGGGATACAATTTCCAAAAAAAAAAAAATCAGGCTCTTCCTAAATTGCTCCATGTGATACAATTCTTAGACCTATTTGTAATCTGACAAAATCTATAGAATAATGTGTAACAACTTCTTAGTCTTGTTGGAAAAAATAAGTGTATATTTTTCCTTTTTTATTAGCCATCCTTTTTTCTACAGACATGACTATGGTCTTCTGCCATACAATTCTGCTATTATAACTGTTGCCAATGATATGAGTATTAAAAATGTAGGCAAATAATTTACTTGATCTTAACTTCTTAATATGTTATAAAGTACTTATGCCTATCTAAATCCATATTTTTAGCTGGTTAGCATGTTCATTGTTTACTACTTTATGAAGTTTATAGTGTATGCCTGATTTCTGACCCCTAAATTTTAAAAAATCCCATAAATTCGTATATTTAAATACTAACTCCTGAAATAGATTTTTCAACTGTAGCTTTCATTTATTGAATATTTACTACAAGTCAAGTACTATACTATGTACTTCATATATACTCATTAGCAAATTTAAACAAGATGAGGCTTAAAGAAGTAGCTTACCTAAGGGCATACCATATGTATAAAAGCAAATCTGAACTCAGATTACAGCAATTAAAAACCTAAGCTCTTAACCCCAAGGTAGTAAATTCTTTATATCCTCAATCTTAGGTCATTTCCTTTTCATCAAAGGTTCCTTATGCTAGAAGAGGCTAAACTCTGGGATATGGTTGGGGAATACAGTCTTTTCTTTTTTCTAAAATTCCTATAAAGCGATTATATAACTTTTAAAATTATAAAATATGTAAAATTATTTAATACTTTCATTAATCACATGGTAGATAAAGGAAATATTCTAAATTTTTCCAGATATTGTGATATAATAACTGGTTAGAAATCATATTGAGGCAGTGTGAGGAGTCCGGATTCCATCTTAAGTGTTATAGGAGGCTATCAGAAAATTTTGAAAGCAAAAGAGCAATATTACCTATTCTAGATTTTTCAAAAAGTCTTCTAGGAAATTTGGGGGCAAAAGACTCAGAATCCCACTCAGTAAAATAAAATGGGGAGAGAAGAAAGCAGCAACATTTGGTCCCAAAATAGATGACACAGTCAAAGCATTCTGGGGGGAAAAAAATTGATGGCTTCTTAATTAGTGGAATAACACGATTAAATTATTGAGATCTAGGGAGGCAGTATTAGTTAAGATTAAAATATCAAGAATCCAATTCCCTAGGTTCTGAACTCACTTCCCCCTTACTAGTTGTATGATCTTAAGCACATTACTTAACTGAACATTGCTATCTTCCTCATAGGATTCTTGAGAATTAAGTGAGATAATAGTTATAGAGCATCCAGTAATGTGGTTAATATACAATTTGTGTTGAATACTAAGTAGTAATAATACTCAAAATTCTGTAGGTGTATACAAACCTAGTCAAGAACTCAAGAGAGGACTATACTACTAAAGAAAAAGAAGGGAAAAATTGAAGTTATAAATTTATAAGGAAGATATATGTAAAATGTATTTGGAGCAACCAGTAATAAACATACATTAAGTGTTCAACAAATATGTACTAATGATAACACTCCAAATGCTGGGGAAGGGAATTATAAATGATTTTTATTTTCATTTTTATACTTTCTATATGACTAAGATTTCCACATGAAAAGCAGCAATATTCTATATCAAGATCAGCTAAGATAAAGTTATTTTCATCTTTAAAAAATTAAATACACCACACTAACATTTCATCATTGGTAAACCTTAGGATCTTCATTAGCAAACCTTAGTATCACATTAACCTTAGTATCAATCTTGAGGAAAAATTATCCAATATTCAATAAAATAACATGTCATTCAGAAGTTGAAAAATTCATTACATCCAAGAGTCTGGATTCTGGACTTAGGACTGCTGAATTTGAGTCCTGGTTTTATCACTTACTAGCAACATTAGCTTAAACAAGCTAAAACTCTATGTGCCTCAGACTCTTCATTTACGAAAAGGAAATTACAAAAGCACACAGCTTAAGACGTTGTTGGACTTAATGAATACGTGCAAAGCCCTCACAGTACTTACCATGAAATAATGCATTACTCTTTTTAGTATCATTACTCTGATCTACTTGCTTCTTTTATATAGATAATCCTTCCTAATATTCTAAGATTCTAAAATAACTGTCAAGAAAACTGGTTTCTAGGCCTTCCTGTTTCTACTGGACTGTTTTACGTCACAAAGAGTTTTTATTTTCAATACTTTGGGCCTAAGAGGAAACATGTATCAGCTAGCGGAGTACATGAAAGAAATATTATAACTTACTATGTCTCTGAAAACAACTGCTCTAAGCCGATTAATATCCATGTCTTGTAGAAGTCTGTCAAGATCTCTTACAGGAGCTATACCACCAGTCACTATGTCCACAGGACTCTATTTAAGATAAAAATACATGTGTATATATATATATATACACATACACACACACACAAACACACACACATTACACAGATATTTTTAAAAAACAAATGCAGTATTACAGAATCAGAAAAGCAAGGCTATAATCATTTTCCTAGTTTTTCATCTGTGCTTTTTTCTCCTTTCTGGGGCGGGGGGAAGGGGAGAGCAGGGAGTCATGCAGGGAGAACAAATCACATATTTGAAGGAAAAGGTATCGCAGAAGAAAAGTAAACATTTGGAAAAGCAGACAAGATTAAGTATAAACAAATCTTTATTGTATATTTAAACACAAATATTTGAATGTTATGTCCACAGCCTAAAATAACTATTTTAGGATCTCTGTCAGATTTAGTTAACTTTATGTTGAAATAAACAAATTAACAGTCTTAATTGTAAAATAAGAGAATGCTTTTAAAAATTAATTATTCTATATACTTACCTTTGCTGCAGATGTCCCTGAGGGAATAAGGCTCGGCATTGTTTTCAAGCCTTTATCTCCCCTTGTTTTCAATTGTGAGTGCTGTTGACACTCTAAGCAATTCCTTACTGCCACTGCACACACTGTAATTTATTTTAAGGGAAAGAAAATTTAAGATTTATGGAACTGATAAAAAATCATCTATACAATATGACCGCATAAGATTTTATTCAAAGCAGATTACCTTCAACTTATTCATAAAATGTTCCTATACTTTACGACCTAGTGTTTGTTGTCTAATATTGTTAGCTTCCCTGTTAAGGCCCAGTTAAGAGCAAAGGAGAAGTATGCCTAGCAGTCTATACTTTTATGGTCTTGTGAAAGGGAATCCGTTCAGGAATCTTAACAGTAGGCTGCTGTTTCTAGATCTCAGTCACTAGTTGGGACAATCTTTTCCTACCAAAAAAAAAAAAAAAAAAAACCAGAGAAGAAAAGAATTCAAGGAACAGTAGCAAACAGTTTTTGTAAAAAAACAACCATAATGCTTTCAAGAGTATTTGCAGCATAAATATTAAAATACTTATTAGACTTTTAAAAATAACAGAGGAAGAAAATAGAACAAAGCACATTTGCTACTAGTCTGGGGTAATGATCTTCTATTACTGTCATTAAAATAAATTAAACTAGAAACTTCATGTTTTTCTTTGTTGTTTTTTTTTTTTTTGAGTTGGAGTCTCACTCTGTCACTCAGACTGGAGTGCGGTGGCCGGGAGCCTCGACCTGCTGGGCTCCAGCGATCCTTCCGCCTCAGCTTTCCAAGTAGCTGGAACTGCAGGCGCGCACTACCACACCCAGCTAATTTTTTTTTTTTTTTTTATTGTAGAGATGAGGTCTCACCAAGTTGCTCAGGCGGGTCTCGAACCCGCGGGCTCAGGCAATCCACTCACCTCAGCCTCCCAAGGCACAGGATTACAGACTGAGCCACCAAGCCCGGCTATGTTTTTCTTATATTGCATCATTAGTGCATGACATTGAGACTGACAGAGCATATAGCATTTATAGGAATCTTTATAGGGTTTAACGTTTAGTGGTTTTCATTAAAGTTGCTTAGAAAATGGGGGACAGAAAAGATAATTTGAATAATATACTGGTATAGTCCAAAATGACCCACCAAATCAAGCAGTGAGATTACTTAGAAGTTAATTTTGAAATTTAAATGATGAATAGGGTCATGTATATTTCACTAGGAACTGCTTGATATCATGTAATCACCTTAATTCCCAACTAAGTCTGTAGTACTAAAGGTATTTCACCCAACAAGGGTGGGAGAGCAAATTAGTAACAAAATAGCAAACTTAAGTGGTAACTTTAAGTAGTACCAGTCTATCACAAGGCTAACAGACATAAGAATTTAGAAAGGAGAGTGTTCAGAAAGGTGCCATAAGAGAGCAACAAAAGTTAGACAAAAAGGAAGGTAGAGAGAATATGGAATACCACTTTGTTAAATTTGGTTTCTGACCCAGCAAAATGACTTTTTCAACTACTTTTGTCACAGGTTGCATAAAATCAAATTTGGGTCTGCATTACAAAGTTAAAAACCATGCCACATTTCCCAGTTTTTACTTCCCCTAAGGAAGTCCAGCAACAATAAAAAGCCATTTTGTGTATCTTTACTTTTGCCTAAGGAAGAAGTACATCCAGAGGAAGAAGAGAGATTTGATGATTTCATTAACTGTTTTAAATTACCACAGCTCTTTTGAATAAAGGCTATACTTGAATGATGCTAGTTTAGATTCTTGTTATTTAAGTATGTTTGTAAAAGGAGCAGCATCAACTTGGTAGACAGTATTAGGCCTCACTCCAGTCTTTTTTTGTTTGTTTGTTTGAGTCAGAGTCACACTCTGTTGCCCAGGCTGAAGTGCAGTGGCATGCTCGCAGCCACCCCAGCGTCGACCTGCTGGACTCAGGCAATCCTTCTGCCTCAGCCTTCCAAGTAGCCAGAACTACAGGCATATGCTACCACACCCAGCTAATTTTTTTATATATTGTAGAGATCTCACCAAGTTGCCCAGGCTGGTCTCAAACCTCTGGGCTCAAACAGTCCTCTCACCTCGGCCTCCCACAGTGCTGGCATTACAGATTTGGGCTACCAAGCCCGGCCCTCACTCCAGTCTTTAATAATCTAATCTGCATTTTAACAAGGTTCTCAAGTGATTCATGGTTATGGATCACCTTAAAATTTGAGAAGTACTACTCAGAACAAAAAGAGATCAAGGAAGTGCCTGCAACCCTAGATACTCAAGAGACTGAGGCAAGAGGACCACTTGAGCCCATAAGTTTGAGTCTAGCCTGGGCAACATAGTGAGACCCCCATTTTTGAGGGGGCAAGAAAGGTCAGAGAAGAGGGGAAACCAGAATCACCTTAATAGATTTTTCAAAATATGTCCTTTTCCCCTTATCCTACTTGACAAGTACTACTATGCATGGAATATTGAAAAGCAGCATATGACAAACTGGTTAGCACACATTTTCTCACTAATAGAAAAAAGAGACTTTCAATTTAACATCTAAATTACTGAAAAATTTTAAAGTTTCTAATTAATGGGTTTCAACAGCTTACCCAGTCGGAGACACTGTCGCAAAATTCCTCCAGATGACATATTTTTTTCAGCTTCAATTTCAGCAAACCCAAGAGAACTTGCAAATATAAGCACATCCACCAGGCTAATTAGCCTCTGCAAAAACGTCACAGAGGCTTCTATCGAAAGGCCTTGAGTAGGTTCAATAGTCTCCAGCTCATGCTGCAGGGAATGAAAATTAACATTTACATGTATATTCTGAGAAACTTTAATTTTTCCAGATTATCCCAAATTTCTAAACCTTATAAGAAGTCAGTCCTTCAGAAGTCTAGTACAACAGAGTTATTTACTTATTATTTCATCAAAAAAAAAGGCAGTGGAAACATAAAGGTCAAACACCATCAACCAAATTCTCCACTAGCTGACTCATCCCTAAGAAAGCAACATTCATTTTAGTTCCTTCATTCCTGGAACAGATTCTAAGGCCCTTGCAAGTCATTGTAAAAAACCCTGTTGTTTTTTATTTATAGCACCAATGATGCATAGTAACCACTACATTCAAGTTTTAGTCAATAAGGATGAACAACACTCATGTTTTCACACCAATTTTATATAGTAATTAAGTTCTTACTGTAGCCGATGTAGCAGCTGAAAGCAATGGCAGTATACCCCCACAAGCCATGACCATATTGTCCATCACTTGAGAGATGAGATGAATTGTGTTGTGTACAAAGATGATATTATCACTGCTATTCACGAAGTCCATAACTGTCTTTGTTGAGTGGCTGTCCAAAGATAAATGATGTTTACTGATAAAGCTAAGAAAAGGAAATCACATTTTGCCTACTTGAGGGGAGGGAGCATAAGAAGGTGCTTTTGCTTCATCTTGGAAAGTGAAGAAAGATAATGATGCAGCAGGCATTTGGAGGGTATATGCTTTCTCAGAAGAAATAGACCATTTTGTATCAGCAGTTACTATCCATGCTCTCCTTCAGTGCTGAAATATAGATACTATTCATTTTCATTTGATATAAAAAGTTGAAGAAAATTATTCTTAACTGGGAGCAGAGTTGAGAAGCCATTTGACAAAAATTAAGAGGTAAATGGCGGCAAATGTACATTAAAAATGAATTTTCTACTAACATTTTCTTAGGTAATGCCATAAAGTGCTTTTAAAGAGAATAAGAGTTGTATACAAATTAAAATAAACAAATTAGGCACTTTTTAAAATTTTTTTTAAGAGACAAGGTCTCACTCTGTCACCCAGGCTGGAGTGTAGTGGTATTATCACAGCCCACTGCAGGTTTGAAGTCCTGGGCTCAAGCGAGTCTCCTGCCTATGCCTTTATATTTTGTAGAGACAGAGTCTCACTATGTCACCCAGGATGGTCTAGAGAACTCCCGGCCTCAAGCAATCCTCCTGCCTCAGCCTCCGAAAATACTGGGATTAACAGTGTGAGCCACCATGCCTGGCCCAAATTAGGCACTTTTTTTTTAAGTTGGAGTTTCATTGTTGTTACCCAGCTGGCATGCTCACAGCCACCACAGCCTCGACCTGCTGGGCTCAAGCGATCCTTCCACCTCAGCCTTCCAAGTAGCTGGAACTACAGACACACGCCACCATGCCCAGCTAGTTTTTGTGATTTATTGTAGAGACAAGGTCTCACCAAGTTGCCCAGGCTAGTCTCAAACCCCTGGGCTCAGGCAATCCTCTTGCCTGGCCTCCCAAAGTGCTGGGATTACAAACTGAGCCACTGTGCCTGACCTTAGGCACTCTTGAAAAACATGTATCATACAGTGCAGATCACTCTGAAATACACAGGTTTTTTTTTTTTTAATGCTAAAAGTATCTACATCTACTGGAGAAATAGATAATCTTATACTTATCCCAATTATTCTTCAGTACTAATAGTCCATTTGATAGACCTACCTTATGGTGAATTCCATGCTATAAAATATGCTACAGAAAATCTTCAGCAAACTTTTAAAAGATAAATCTGATTTTCAAGTTTTTATAATCCAGACATAGATTATATTCTTATAATGGAGACTGAAAGTTAATTCAGTAAAACTCTACCATCGAATAATTTACATTCTACTTTTTAACCAAACATCTGCAAAATGCTTACACAAATTTTTAAAAACAAACACTAGCTTTATACATATCTTCTATAATAAACATATGGACAAACCTTCTCCACATCTGTATATCTGTTTCTATTGAAAATAATAGATCAGTGAGCAAACGTTGGTGCATGTGAGACCACTTGAACTCAGGAATACGAAACATAGTACTTCTGGAATCCCTCCTTTGTCCATTTACCGCATCTGGTGCTATTCCTTGCCATGGCTGCTCCTGTTGCCTTGACATCTAATATAGAAAATTTTAAAAGTAATAAAGTAAGTTTAACTTCATAGGAAGGCATTAGTAAAGTAAGTAATTTAGGAGCTTCTATATAATTCATCTAACAAATACTCACATTTTAAGACACTAAAGAACCAAATTAGAAAGAGAAAATTATCAATGAGTAATATAACACTACTAAAGATATCAAAAATACTAAACTACCACAATTCAACAGCAATTAGTTTGGAACCATGTATTACTAATATGTAGCATTTTATAAAGAAATAAAGCAGAAGTTGATAGTTTTGAATTTTAGCATAAAAGGCAGTATTTATAATCTAGGCAATATCTGGATCATAAAGTAACTAAAATGAAGAGCAAACAAAAATAAAGACAACATAATGAATAACACACAAACAAAAAAGAAGGATGAAGAGAGGAACTAAATAACATAGAAAATGACAGCCGGGCTCGGTGGCTCAGCCTGTAATCCCGCGCCTTTGGGAGGCTGAGGTGAGTGGATTGCCTGAACCTGCGGGTTTAAGACCCGTCTGGGCAGCAAGACCTCATCTCTACAATAAATCAAAAAATCAGCTGGGTGTGGTAGCGCATGCCTGTAATTCCGGCTACTTGGAAGGCTGAGGCAGAAGGATCGCCGGAGCCCAGCAGGTCGAGGCTGCGGTGGCCGGGAGCAGCCACTGCACTCCAGTTTGGGCGACAGAGTGAGACTCCAACTCAAAAAAAGAAAATGATAACACACTCCAATCCTTGCCTCATGAGTCACTCCAAGAAGCCGGCAGAGGAGAAGGTTGTGCCTCTACATCTCACAAAGGTGCCTCCTCTCTCTCAACAGAACTCATGGTGCAATTTTAAACCACAAACCTAGACTAAAAGTATACACTAGCAGGTAGGTAGACCAGATTTTGTTGGAAAACTGATGTATTAAGATCAGGTTAGTCAAATAAAAGGTAAACTGCAAGTGCCTCCGATATTTGCTTTATAAATGAAAACTGTAACAATCCCGGAACCTAAAAGTGGTACTTTTGCTGATGCTGTGGTAAAAATAATGGTAAAAGCTGCCATTTAATGAACTAACTGCCAAATACTGTACTAATGATTTGAAATATAATCTTTACATTCATTGCATTTAAGTGATTGCAACTAGTATATGAATCAAATCCAAAATAAAGTAAGATGGTAAGTATATACACTTGTCTATTCTAACTCAGTGCAAATACACTTCAAAAAGACAATATGGATACTCACCTCATGCACATATCGTTGAGGCTGAGGCACTTCCACGTTTGTACTGGCTTTCAATTCCAATCTCTCGGTATCTGTAGCAACACTGGAAACATCCAACTTGGCAATCTTAAGCTCTGAAGTAGCAGAAGTCTCGAAGACATTACCATGACAATCGCTCATTAATTTGGTTTCCCTAGTAAGGTCAATTGTTTTCTCCCCTCCCTCCTCCATCTGACTGATGTCTGATTGTACAGCAGTTTGGGAAACAGCAGTTTCTGGCGAGGTAGCTGAAGACCCTGATGCTGTCATCGTCAGGATTCCGGAATCTTTAGAATCTTGAGTTTCAGTGTCATTCTGCTTTTCAGTCACAGGTTCTTTCTCTTGAAATACTAATTTGCAATCATTACCAAACATGTCCAGTCTTTCACTGGCTCCAGATGCAGTTGGAGATGAACTGTTATCTTGGAGCTCTGTGGTTAGCCTGGCTTCCTCAGTTGGACTATTTTCTACTTTCAGTTCCACATAATCCTCATCTTCCTCTTCCTCTACTATAGACTTATCCAAGAATTCTGGCATCTCTGAAGCATCCTCTTCTGAAGGGGAACTTACAGATGCAGTTACTTCACTGACAGTCACAGTATCTTGGCCAGTTATTTTAAAAGAACTAGAGGAAATGGTCACAGCTTCCACTATGTCTGAAGATACTTCTAAATCACCTGCATTCATTGTCTCATTTGTCAGTGTTTCTTCCAAAGTGTCTTCATCCTGTAACTCCTGATTTTCTTGCTCAATTTTCATATCATCATTAGATGTATTATGAGTTTGCAGTTCAATGGTGGACGCAGATTCTAATGAAACTGTCTTTTCCATACTTGAATTTTCATCACTATTTCTGGTGAAACGAAGATAGACAGGAGACTCCTTCGTATCTGATTGCTGGGACCCCACTGAAACATTAACATCCCTGCTAACATCAGACACTGCTTGATTTGGACTTGAAGAACATGGACCTATTTCTTCAACTTTTCCCTGCTGTTCCCTAAATATATTGGCAAGGTTTTCTTTGTGTATTTCAAAAGTGACCTGGATGAAAAATGTACAAACAGTTAAAATATACATAAGAAGTTAATACAAAATACAAAATTAAATTATTTTCAACAATTTTCAAATAGTTTACATAATATAATAAAACCTAATTTTCCTATATCACTATTTTGGTAGAATGATATATTCAATGCCAAATCAATCACAAAAAGCTAAATACTCATAAAATCTATATCCAATTTTAGTACTAACACGTAGCATAGCATGAAACTATGAAACCACAGCAAGAACATAATTATATAGCCTACTGTTAAGGATATATAGGGAAAAAATACACTATTCTACTGGACTCTACGACTTGTACCAGGATCTAAATATATACAAATGGGAAGTGTTTTATATACTGAATAATACATTGTTTCAACTGCAATGAAAACCCTTTTTCCCAGGATTTGTCCTCAGGTGAGTTTGTTGTTTTGTTTTGTTTTTTAAAATATCAATTAGTTACACAATTATAGAAGCTTTCCATTTACCTATTAAGTAATAAAAAAGTTACATTACTAAACTAAAAAAAAAAACAGCAGTGGAAAAAATATCCAGCCCTTCCTCAAGAGTCAACCAGAGTTTTCAATGTTTAAACTAGTAACAAATTGTCTGAAATTTCCAGGTAATCCATTCAAGCAACCACTCACCCAACGTATATGAGTGACTACTATGTATTTGGCAATGGGGACATTCCCAAGCCACGCTTTGACTCTTACCAAGTAAATGGAAAAAGACCAAATAGAGAAAAAAACTTTAAAAAACAGAGTGCTATGATTGTTAATACCACAGAATTTATAATTATTTATCTCTTCCAGGATTATTAACTTATAGCCATCATGTGATTTATACTAGTGTTTCAATGGTAACCCCCTCCCTTCAAGAATAACACCAGAAATACTGCAGACAGTATAAGATTATAGTTCATTAATCCCAAAACTGTTTGTTCCTGTAATCTACATTATTATAACACACACAGTTAATTGGACATTCATTCAATGAATTTTTATTGAGCTCTAATATGACAGGATGGTAAGAGATGATAACAAAAGAAGAAAAGCTGATTTTTTTTTTTTAGGCACAAAAATCCATAGGCCTTATTAAGTTGCAGGAGTATACACGAAGGCAAAAGGCAAACAAAAGTATAAATAACAATCAATGCAAAAACTTTCTTCTATAGATTTAACTAGCCTTTACTCACCACATATACAGAACATTCACACTATCACATGATATAGCTCAAAAGAAAATCGTTTAGGGAGTATTTTCCTAACTGCAAACAGTTGTAAGTACTTTTCTAATTGTAAATATACTCTTAATTATAAACATTTCAAAATACTTTTAATATTTCAAAAAGAAATGCACACATTCCACACTAAACAGTAAAATGACACGGTAAAATTAACTAAATGTCAATTTCTTTTACACCCACAATGCCAATATTTTCTTTGAAATGTGTTTGTTATTTCACCTGACCAATTCCTCATATTTATTCAACAAAAATTTACTGAACATCTTGAGCATGCCAGGCACTGTGTGATGGACAACACAATGTTCCTGACTTCACGGAGCTTGCTTTTATTCTAGTAAAGGAGTCAGAAAATAAATATGCAAACATACAAGACAATGTCAAGTAGTAATAAGAGCTTTGAAGAAAAAAAAAGACAGAGAATAACTGTGATAGAACTCGAGGTGGAGGTTACATTCTACTAGCGTAACTGGGGACGGCCTCTCTGTTATATTAGAACAAAGACAAAAATAAAAGAGAAAGCAAGTTATGTAAAAGGGTTTCAAGCAGAGAAGAACAAAAGGCAAAGCCCGGAAAACAAAATAAGCCTGGTATGTTTGAGGAATAACAATAAACCAGTGGACTGAGAACTGAAGAAGATGAAGTCAAACATTTGTATACCCATATCTAACTCTGAATTGTACCCAAATTTAAAATAAAAAATTAATTTAAAAAAAGATGAAGTCAATGGTGTAGCCATTGGGTAGATTATGTTTGTAGAGAATTACAGACTGTGTTAAAGACCGAATTTTATTCTGAGAGAGCCATTTGGGAATTAGGAGTGTGGGGAAGATACAATCTGATTTCCCATTTCAAAGGATCGCTTAGTCTATTGTTTGGAAAACTGTCTAAATGGAAATAATTTCTGCACTAATAAAAAGTTATAATTATCTAAGGAGGGCAAATCACGTATTACCAACCTCATGGTGATTCTAAAAACAAAACATTTATTTCTACAATATCCTGTGTTACAGAATGAGTTCAGTTTTAGATAATCATTTGCTTTGATTTTATTTATATTAAGGGTTTTTAGAATTTTTGTTATAAAATGTATCAATAAACATGAGTATATACAATTTATATGTACAGGCTAAAGAACAAGAATTTTTTAGTCCCCTGTACCTACAACCCATACCAAGAAAGAGAACATTACCGGACCTCACAATTCCCTATGTGCCCCTCCCAAACTGTAATCCCTACTCATCCACTGCCATCAAGAGGAATCACTATTCTGACAATTGTTACTTATCATTTGTTTGCAAATAGTTTTACCATCTGTACACTAAACATACTCATTATGATTAGTTTGAAAAACTAAGTCTGGCACAAACCAGGTCAGCTGTATAAGGAAAGGGCAATATCACCACAACTAACTAAAGGCTCGCAGGAGAAGACAATTTACACAGAATCTGTGAACTGCTGTGAGCTTCAGCTTCTCCAAGAGGATATATAAAGCTATTTCTGGGAAATCTGTAGGCAAAGTCATTAGAAAATACTGGGAAACACAGAGATCAAGAAAACTGGAGAATCTATCAGGGGGAGTGTGAGCCAAGTCGAGTGAATCTGGCATGAAGAAGGCTGAAACATAGACTACTTTACATTTTTATTTCTAAGCTCACCATGGTGGAACTCTACCCTCAGAAATAAGTCAAAGCAGAGCACGTTTTTGACGAGTAATGTGAGAATCCTGAGGTGTCAGGCACCAGGACAGAAAGAGCAGGAATTTAATCAGCACATGATTAAGACAAACCAAGTACTCACAGGAATACAGGCCCACCTCATGTGGGTAATTTGTCCTCAGGTTTAAAAAAAAAACGTTACAAAAGGCAACTGCTGTTTCAGTGATAATCACCCCCACCGTGCCCCCCATATCTGTTTCTTGAGTCAAACTGCTCCAATCTAGATGGAATGCACGTCTGCTACAGAGATGCCCCCCTTCATTTCTTCTCCATGTTGACCCTCCTGTTTCTCAGGTCCCAAAACATTCTCTTTGCTTTATTCTCTCCTTTGGTGCAGTAGGTCTTCCGGTGCCTTGAGAAAGGGTGCACATGAACCAAAATTTTTGAGACCTTGAGTATCTGAACATGTTTATTCCCGCTTCATAAGTGATTAGTAGTCAGACTGAGTAGAAAATTACAGGTTGGGGGGCCTGAATGAAGCATATTTGTATACCTAACCCTTAACTGTACCCCACAATATCAAAATAAAAGATATCGATAAATAAAAAAAAAAAGAAAATTACAGGTTGAAAAGCATTTAGTTTTGCTTTTAAAATTCTGAAATTATTTGGTTTTTAAGTTTTTCCTTTAATTTTTACTCCAATAGTCTAAAAGCTAAATGGCAATTGAACAATTATCAATGTTATCTTTTTGAATGCTGTTTTCCTTAAGATATTTGTGACTTTAAAACTGATAATTCCCAATTAATTGACAGATATTGTTCTACATTACCCAGCTAAAAGACTAGTCATTAATCTTCACAATCATTTGATAGCTAATCTATAGCTGTTTGTAACGTTTGGAAAGCACTTCTGTAAACTACTACTTACAGATACTTATGAGCTAATGGCTATGGCATTTCTTTTGCTATTACTTTCAACTTAATTGGCATTCAAATTTACTAATTAGGAGATAAATGATTAACACAATACATCAAGAGGTTAAAATTACTTTATTAATTCATACATTAAAGTTGTTTAACCTAGAAAAATTTAGACTTTTTAAACCACTAGGCAATGTTTAGCAACTGACTTTGTTTTTAAGCAAATGCATCATTTTCATTGTATGTTATTTCATATGAAAATACCAGCAAAATATGGTATGCTAACTTTTTTTTTTTTTTTTTTTGGAGTTGGAGTCTCATTCTGTCGCCCAGGCTGGAGTGCAGTGTCACACTCACCGCCACCCAGCATTGACCTGCTGGGCTCTGGTGATCCTTCTGCCTCAGTCTTCCAAGTAGCCAGAACTTACAGGCGTGCACTACCATGCCTGGCTAATTTTTGATTTATTGTAGCGACGAGGTTTCACCAAATTGCCCAAGCTAGTCTCCAACCCGCGGGTTCAGGCAATCCACGCACCTCAGTCTCCTAAAGTGCTAGGATTACAGGCTGAGCCACCGAGCCCAGTCTTATATGCTAACTTCTTTTTTTTTTTTTTCTGAGTTGGAGGCTCACTCTGTCGCCCAGACTGGAGTGCAGTGGCCGCTTCCGGCTACCACAGCCTCGACCTGCTGGGCTCTGGAGATCCTTCCGCCTCAGCCTTCCAAGCAGCCGGAATTAGAGGCACGCGCTACCATGCCTGGCTGACTTTTTGATTTATTGTAGAGATGAGGTCTCGCTGCCCAGGCGAGTCTCGAACCCGCGGGCTCAGGCAATCCACTCACCTCAGCCTCCCAAAGGCACGGGATTACAGGCTGAGCCACCGAGCCCGGCTTTATGCTAACTTCTAATTCGCTAACTTCTAATTCTTAGGCTACCAACTTTTCCACAGTTGATAAATAAGATATATCTTGAAAAACAGCTGCATCTCTCCATACATAAATCAGTGAGAATAGGTCAAAATGGTTACTATCACACTCATGAGATCTTTTACAAACTCTGATGCACAATAATGGTACAAGGTAACAGATATAATGGTAAAATCAAGTTATAAATATTCACTTATCTATTGTATGCAAAGCACCATGATTACAAATCTAAACAGTCTGCTGG